GTTATTGTCACAGCGGCAGAATATTGCTTTGGTACTTGTGATCTGGAAAGAACTACAGTAAAAGTATTGCTCTGTGGAGCATGGGAAGCTGTGACTGACAGCACTGACAGTATCATAGATCTTGTCAGTGGCGGTGGTGTGGGGTGGTGCACTGTAGGTTGCAAATCCCTGTAAGTGATAATTTATGACCGTGCTGTCCAATCTCTTTGATGTTTATGCTTGGGTTTTATTGAGTTTTATTTGCCCTACATACTATAGATCCGGCCCTATAAGATTAGTGCATACACAATTATATTTGTTATTTTATTTATTCATCCTAACATTATTCTGACACTCAAAGCCTAGCCTAGATTCACACACCAATATATAGTCTATTTTCTCTTAACATCTCTTGTGCCATCCTTAATTTTACGTCCTCTACTAGTCTCATTTTGCCACTAATTTTACTTGGCATAATTCCCCGAAATGTATCAACTTGCCAACCTTATTTAAAAAACAAGAGAAGTGCACCAGAAAGGGACTGGGATGAATAAAATACTAGAAGTAGATACTAGATTACCACAAGGTACTGCCAGACTAGGAACTAAATGAGTCGAAAATAATAAATACTTTATTAATACTAAAATACAATAATACAAAACTCCCTTCTGACGAGCCAGGTCGGGCGAAACGCGCGCGTCCAGGTGTCCTATCCGTGCTGTTTTCATGATCTAGAAATAGCACGTGGACTTGCTACCGTGCTTTTTATAATTACTTATTATTTATTTATTTATTTTTGTACAGAATTCTGGTACACTTCTCTTGTTTTTTAGTTTCTATTTGGGCTTACCCCCACCTCTTAATGTACCTAGGATAGGCTTTACCCCAGTTCTTTCTTTTTTCTGCTGCCAACCTTATTTCACCCACCCAATTTTATCTAAAATCTACATAACCAACTTAATATTTTACTTCTATCTCAGTTTAAGAATATTCACAAGTCTTTACCTTGGGGGGGAGGGGGGGGAATAAATACATCTTGGTTTCTATAAAATAGTCAGAGGTATTCATTAAATGTGCGACCATAGGAATTATAATTAGGAATTATTTTGTTTTCTTAATAAGTGTCAGTGGACCTCTGGTACACATGCTTAAAATAATAACATATTGTAAATATCTTCAGTAATTTTTAACATCCTATTCAAATGTATATATTGCGAATCAACAATGAAAAATAAAATTCATCCCTGTTATTTCTGTATCAAATATGGGATTTTAGCAAACACATTTTCTCCAACATGTGAGATCTACTGAACATGTACATTCGCTTCCTTTCCTGTGACAAAAAAAACCAAATCTGAACTTTTGAGGGCATTTTACAATGTCTTCAATATATTATTTAGGGGGGACATTTAATATTTCTGCATTTGTCAGTTTCAATATTCAGCCTATGCTTGCATATATAAAAAAACAACAAACAAAAAAAACTCCACTAGCACACACAGACAATAACACTTTTCATAAACAGTACAATGTAAGCATAAGTCGATATGGGCGTCTCATGCGCACCTGTGCAAAGCATCACTTTTTGCACCCTGCACAACGCCAGAAAAGAATTACAAATTTATATTTACTAAGATTAACTTTTTATATGCATTTACAAAAATTGCTGTTGAGTAAGACGAATACTGGTTTTCTACCTAGGTAAAAAATAACTATCTATCTATCTATCCATCTATTTCTTTCTATCTATCCATCTATATCTATCTATCCATCTATATCTATCTATCTATCTCTACCTCCATCATTCTGTCTACCTCCACATGGGGTATGTGACTCACTAACGTCCCAGACCCGGATGTCATGACATGCAGCAAATTCCTTTACTGTTTCCATGTTTCAATTGTGAGTGGTAATGGATTTGTATCCACACACAATGGTCCAGATGTTACCAGATCAAAAAGACTGTCTCACAAAAATCAAATAAACAAAAGCATGTGTCAGTAAAACAGCAGGGTTGTATGGTCTCCCTGGAGAACTGAACACTTACACAATGCATGTGTTTCTCAAATCACGAAATGTGGACCACTGTGGGAAAAAGGTGCCATTAATCTAACCTCGTGGAGGTGTCAGTGCAACCTGCAACTGTGTTTGGTTAAAATGTAAATACTTTGAGGGAGATTTAATTGTTCTAAAAAGTGGTTTAAATTAATAAAATTGGGACAATCACCATGGAAATAGCTGGAACCAGCAGCCACATTTCATTAGTGACCCCTCCTTTATCACATTTTTGAACAACTTTTTAGAACAGTTTGATAAATCTCCCCATTTGTCTTACAACAGATTGATAAACAAACAAGTGATTAAAAGTTCATACTCTTATTATAATTTATAGACCCCAAAAAATATTTTAGAATTTATTATTTTCATCAGCTGTGTAGTTCTTCGCTTTCTGGTTCCAAAATTGGATCATAGACTTTTAATTGTCATTTAACACCTTGTATTAAAATATGAATTTTATATGGGGTCTGTCCATAAATATCCAACTATTGAACTCTCTTTTAAAGAAAACAAAAAATATTTTTTTAAAGGATTTGTTCAAGGTAATTAGCCTGCAACTTGTGACGGTTATCCAAAAATAGTTAAATATGGGAGAAATTATATATCTTAAATATAGGGGAAGGAGACAAAAACACCCAACAAAATTTAGTTTCAGAAGTTAACGCATTTTAAGATTACTCTAAATAGAGTATTATAAGACCTATCCACCACTGTTCAACAGATAAATTGATCAAAGTTTTTTAATTCATCATCCAAAATAGCTAAGGAAAAAACTAAAAACTTTTATCTAACTTTAGAAAAAGTTAACAAACGCCATTTTGAAACTACTCTCTCTACGTTGATTGGCTGCCAATTATTGCTCTCTAATAGCAACTCCAAGAACATATAGCTGCCTAGTAACTCATCAGCATCCGTCTGTCTCTGTCAATCAAAAATGTTAGCTAAGGGTTAAGCTATTTATTTTATAAAACATTTGAATTTACATTTCAATAGTTTCTAAATTGTATTTTACATGACCTGTCTGGCTATACAGGTACGGCAGAGCGTATAAAATGAAATTTATCCTTGCAATGCCATACATATGCGTTCATCGCACTATTGAAGGAAAGTCCAAGGACGCATTTGCTAGTTTATTTGTCTGTAGATGCGTCCAAGTCATCATGGGATGGGGTTGGAAGTGCACCAGGCTGCATTATGCCTTACAATAGTAAATGCTTTAACAGAGATCACTGTGGGGAAGGAACGGGAAACTGTGATTCCCAGTGAAATGACAATTCTGCTTTATTGTGTCGGAGCAGTGAGCAATTTATCGAAAAATTTGGAAAGTTTTAAAAGTCCAAAGTACATAATGGGTGTTGGTCTTTTCATGGTAGTGACTTAGCTGAGCAAACACTGAATGCCACTCAAAAGGATGAAACACACATCACTTTGTGATAAAACGGACTCTGTGGCTGAAGGAAAGAGGGGCTTGCATATTGACACTGTGCTCAAACCCACCTGTAAACCAAACTGAGTTGCTGTGAGTATAACCTTTCTAGGGAACCCTCATGTTTTGTCAAAGAGGTTTGAGAGATCATTGACCTGTAGTTTCCGTACATTTATCATTTGCTTTATTCGGTGAGTCTTGCACCAGTCACGAATGAACTGAAAGCATTACGAATGTTGCAAACAGAAAAGACAAAAAAACGATTGCTAGTGCTCGGAAATTTTGTTTGCAGCACAAAAGACAGGAAATGTTTAGTGTTAAATGTTAAATGCTCAGAATACCTTAAATACTATAACATAAAGACAGGTTTTGTGATTAATGTAAAAAAAAAATAGAAAAAAGGAAGCGCCTCAGAAGGATGCCATAAAATGAAGACATAGGCAAAAATATTTTTGAGTTGCATTATAAAATAATTTTTCTATGGTGTTTAGTACTAGTTACTCCCTTATTTGCATCTTGATATCATTTAACACATTTGATGAGAGAGATTTTCGCTCAAACATTTCTTGTCTTTTGAACATGTTGCATTTGTTCTAACTTGTGCCAGAGTAAGGGCCTCCATTTGTGTTCTACCAGCACTGGTAGGTAGGATTTGTGACAGGCGGTGGGAAGCCCTATGTGCGTGCCTGTGATATTATGGGACACCAGGCAGCCAACGCACGACAGAAGGACAAGACCTTGAAATTGGAGATGAACCTACTGGATCCAAGACTGATGGAGATATGCATTTGTCTGGTAATATTACATAATAGGTGCAATTAAAATATAAAGCTGGTTTTTAATATCCCATATTAAAATCATTGGATTGACTGAGATCGTCAGATGGGGCGGGGGTGGGGCCAAACACCAGCCTGGCCAATCAACATCTCCTCATAGAGATGCATCGAATCAATGTGTCCCCATGCAGAGCCGGAAAGTACATCTAGAAGCCATCTGAGGAGTGGCCACTGGAGATGTCCCAAGGCTTTAAAGGGACACTATAGTCACCAAAACAACTTTAGCTTAAGGAAGCAGTTTTACTGTATAGATCATAATCCTGCAGTCTCACTGCTCAAATATTTGCAATTTAGGAGTTAAATCCTCTTTATTTCTGTCTATGCAGCCCTAGTCACACCTACCCTGGCTGTGACTAACATATCATCAACAGTGCAGGGGATAATACATTTTAAATTAAATAGAATTTGCAATGAAGGAAATGGGAATTGCCCGCACTGCTGACTCTATACAGGAAGTGTTTGGGAAGGATGTGCAAGTCACATGCAGGGAGGTGTTACTAGGGTGCATAAATAAAGGGATTTAACTCCTAAATGGCAGAGAATTTAGTAGTGACACTGCAGGGAAATTATCTATACACCAAAACTGCTTCAATAAGCTAAAATTGTTTTGGTGACTATAGTGTCCCTTTAATGTAAACACTGCAGTGTTAACAGCAAAAAAAACCTACAGGGGCTGAATATACACACGATAACTACAATAAGCGGTGGTTGCTCTGGTGACTATAGTGTTCCTTTAACATTACTGAAGCCAAGATATTCATTGGAGTGACAATTTTGGACTATAATTTGAATTCCCAACTTACTTTAGTTTATCTTACTTTACTGAATTTAGTGTAAATATTATTATACTGTTGTATATATTTCTACAGTTGTGAAATTCATGAAATGTATAAAAATGTATAACAAAGCACATTGGCTGATCTCTAATTAAAATGTAAAATAATGTAATTGTATGAGACACATATTTTTGTGGTTTTGTGCGATAAATATCTCATCTGATATATATGATAAAACAATATGACAGAGATGACAGCTAAATTCTTTATCTTTCCTCATTAAAGTAGTAGTTCTGCTTTCAGAATTAACAGTTTTATTACATAATGCTATCTTATGGGAATTGCCCACACTGCTGTTCTCTGAAACACAACACTCATTTGAATGAAGTTGTTATGGTGCCAGGAGGTCTCTGGTGACGGCCTACTTTTAAGGGTTAAACCATTCACTAACGGGCTAACCCAAAAGTCTTGCATCCAGTGCCCCTTAGCTCTGCACCTACTCCTTTCGCTTCTCTCCAATTCTTGAAACAGGAAGCCTCGGAAGGGAAACCGCAGTAGCTCTCCATTCATAAAAACAGCTTGAGAAGCATACGTAAAGTTTCTAAAGCTATTTTGTGAATTGGGAGCTACTGATTGGTTTAGAGGCTAAAGGTAATGTTGTTATGGTGCCCGGAGTGTTCCTTTAATTTCCTACTAACTGTGTGCGTCTGTTAACTCTTAGCTATTGGTATTAAGGACAACAGTCATGTAAAATAAGGTGCATGACTGTTGTGGACAAAGATACTAACCCAATCCATGTTGGTAAAATGCCTATTTACTCAGTATAACTACAATAAGCATTATTCAACTTTATATGTGATTTACCTAAAAATGGCCGTTAGGGAGTTTCCCTTTGACATCGACTAACACCCTCATTAACAAGATGGCGCTGGAATCTGGGGGAGACCTCCAAGCTACCAGTGACATCACACCCGGTAGGAAGAGCAATAAAATGGACCACTTAACACCTAACCAATTATTGATGTATTATTCCATGTTATCTCTGACAATGCATATGATGTAATTTTATAAGGGACATGCCGTCCCCTCAGAATAAACATTCCTCAAGTTTTTTCATTAACCTGTGTCTGGTGTGAATTACTTTAGGAGCGTGCACGCATTACTTCTTAATTTGGCCGGGGGCAGATCCGCAAGATAATCAATTAATTAATTGATTCCACATCAATGTCTAATACACTTTGATGGTAGATGTTACATGTTATCTCTACAAAAACTACGAAACTTTTTCTAGACAGTCACTTTTGAAAATGGTGCCATTCAGTGCAGGTTGTGTTGCGTCCTTTCACTACGCTTTAGCAATGCCAGTCCACCAGTTCCTATCTCGATTGCCATAGTCATGGTCAGGTCTGTAAATGTTCCGGCTATGTCTAGAGACTGGCTTTGTCACTTTTCTTGGCGTTCCAATTCCAACCAGTCGGTTCAAACTTTTGTCCCACCAGACCCCCATTGTGCCTGCAGACCACAAGCTCCAAGAGGCTCTGTCTGTAGAAAAAAAAAATGCTAAGGAGAAGACCCATCTATTTTTTGGCTGAGGGATCATTTTCACATGACAGGATTCCCTTCATTCCATCACAGTGAATCATTAAAAATCACAGGGTTCCCTCAATCCATCACAGTAAATTATTGTAAAACAATAGCAGTTTTTACATGCTGGACATAAAATACTTTTAACTCAAACTTAACAATTTCTCTTTAATGCCTCTTGTTGTGATTATACAAGGAACACAGGACCTTCCATCCAATAAAGGGTTAATACAGACTTTCCATGAATATCAGTCCTGGTATTAATTTTCTTTACTTTCACCAAATCCATTGTATAATCAAATTTCAAATCCAATAATGCTGTACAAGTCAGCCCACTAATCCTTTAATAGTCAGATCTTAGAGTTCTTGAAGAGTTGGGAGTGTCTCTGGCCACGTTACTTAGTCAATAAACTCAAAGGCATGATGAATACTCCCATCCGTGTGGCACCCCCTACAGAGAAACCTTTTGTAATCTGCAAAGGAGTCCTAAAGGCTGGTAGGAGCGTGTGACATCGGTTCAATAAGAACAATGTGATTTCGCCTAAAGAGTGCACAGGTGCCTTTTGGAACTGCTCAACATACCTTTTCGTTTCTGAGCAACTTCCTGGGCAGGAAGTAAAATGTGAAAAACAAAAATGCTTCCCCCAAGGCAGAGGCAGAGAATTGTTCCATCTTGATTAACAATTATATTTTATTATTATTATTATTATTATTATTTTATTATTTATATAGCACCAGCAAAATTCCATAGCGCTGTATTGTATTCAGAGAACAATATAGTACAACCCTCCCAGTAACTGAAAAATTCTTAAAGAGATACTCCAAGCACCATAACGACTACAAGTAACTGTAGTGCTTATGGTGCCACTGTGCCACAATTCCCTGGCACTCCCCATTGTAAGCATTTATCCATTGCAGGGCTTAGCTCAAGGGAGCTAACAGAAGTTCCTGCTTGGAAGCTTCTGGCTCTCTGGCATTCGTAGAGGAGGTGGGACTGGCAACATAACCACTACAGGTCTGTCAATACAGGTAGTGGTTATGGTTCTTTGTGTACACCTATAGCTTATATTGCCAGGAACTATGATTCAGTATGGGCTACACATGCCAGACTGGGCATTAATAAGTGTAGATGGAGAAACTCACTTGACGTGTGCCTTAAATTTAAGGCCTGAGTAGTGGAACTGAAAGCATTTCTTACTTTTTTTAGCTCTGCAGTGGTGACTTTAAGGCATGCATCGAGTGAGCATGCACAAGAATTGACAAAGGGCACACAAAGGCAGAATCCAATTTCACCATATATTCGAATATGACTGCAAATCAAGGCCTGAAAGTGAAGGGAAAAAAAAGAACAGGTAAAAAAAAAAAATATACAATGCTGGGAGAGTGAGGGTACAGTTTGTGTGGAGGGGAATTAAAAATCATTTTAGATTGCTGTCATTTGTAAATACTTCATAATGTGGCAGCCTGGTTAATCCAACATTCTCAAGTCCTCTTGGACAGTCCGGTGGGCAAGTCAAGGCCTGGAGAAAATTGTCATTGGAGGCCACCAGCCCATGCACAAACCCAAACAGTACTGGGCTAGCAGACCAAGCACAATTCCTGCCTGCAGCTTTACTCCTGCAGAACTGTGCCAACAGACATCCCAATGCACATCTTACTATTTTAATTCTCAGCTGCTGCTCATATCCCACCTGCAAGCCCTCCCAAGGTTATAAACGGCAGTTCCTTCATGATTCACTTTATGTCTGCAAATACCCTATGTAGCAGACCCAGGGTAACCCAACTGGTTACCTCCGCTAATTCCCTTCCATCAGCCGGTCGGGACCAGTTAGAGAATAATGAGACCCATTCCCCCCCAGTAACTGGATGACACACAGTCCCAGAGGTACAACAGGAATGACTCACGTGGTGTTTTTGTTAAACATGGTTTTACAGACACAGACCCCTATATGGGGTCTCCAACACAAAACAGTGATTTCAATCCCTGAAGCTGAAGGGGGAGAGAAGAAGGACAAAGCATCTAGGTTAAACTGGGCTGGAAGTGAGGGGGGAGGGAGGAGAGGTACAGGCAGACACTACATTCACAAAAGGAGGCAATACATTTCAACCCCTTTGTTGACCGACAGCTGCATATACAGGCACAATACAGGAAAGACATAGAAATACAAGTGGGAACACATAATACAAGGGGAAAACACACAAATAAGCAGTGGGCATGGTACTTAGTGACGGCGATCCGTCCCACATCTCCCTCTTGTCCACCTCTGGCAGCCGCAGCATTACTCACACGGGTCAGCTCGCTGTTGCCAGGAGGGGACACATAGTCTATTAGTGTCATGCCCACAACAGTACTTGTCCCCGGCCAGCCTCTGTAGTCCTGGTGTCTGGCCGATGTTGCACCCTGCACCCTCCTGGGTACAGGGTGACTTAAACATAGTTTAGCCCAGGAGGCCATCCATGACAGGCTCCAGTACACAAATGGCTTTGCGCCCATAAAAAACTCCACCCAAACAATTGTGCCCCCGGCTATACTATCACCTGTGTCCCTGCTGTTTTCCCAGTTGGCTGAGGATGATGGGTGTCGTTTGGGGCATCTGTAGCAGCTCTGATTCCTGTGTCTCCATGGGGACTTGGCTGGCTTCTGGGGAGGAGAGACGACTGTGCTCTCCCCCTGGCGCTGCTCGGGATATTGGGGAGGGGTCGAGCAATCCTCCATCTCCCCTGGATCTCACTCCACTGCTGGGGAGAGAGACCGATCATCTCCACTCCCATTAACTCACTCTCCCACTGCCACTGGGGAACGAGACATGCTGTCTCCATTCCCTGGACCTCACACTGCCACTGGGGAACGAGACCGGCTGTCTCTGTTCCCTGGACCTCACCCTGCCGCTAGGGAACGAGACCGGCTGTCTCTATTCCCTGCACCTCAGACTGCCGCTGGGGAAGTGATCGGTTGTCTCCGCTCCCTGTACCTCACCCTGCCGCTGGGGAACTAGATCGGTTGTCTCTGCTCCCTGCACCTTACACTGCCGCTGAGGAGGAAGGACGGAACAGTTCTCTCCCTGGACCCTTCTTCTTCCTGTGTAAAGTCTATCAAGTCTCCAGTCTCTGGAACCTGATGCTGGGGAACGAGACCGGTAGTCTTCATTCGCAGGAACTCACACCGCCTCTGGGGAGGAAGGACAGAAAACTTAATTCACTGGACCTCCTGTGTGAAGTCTATCATGTCTCCAGTCTCTGGAACCTGCTGCTGGGAAAGAAGACCGGGTGTCTCTGTTCCCTGGACCTCACACTTCCGCTGGGGAGGAAGGACGGAAAGATTCTCTCCTTGTGCCCGCCATTATGCTTGGTGTTGCAGGTACTTGGCCGCTAGTTTCCTCATGTGCTGTACATATTTCTTGGCGGGGTTGGGCCCAAAGTAAGCCAGCATCTTCTTCAGCCTCTGGTCCAACTCCACTTCAGTGTAGCTGAGCACCAAGCTTGTTTGATTAGCGACTGCTGGTTCCGTTCGGCTGGGAAGTACTCATCCCACTTCTGCCACCAGTTGTAGCGGACCCCTGGTAAACCGACTGGTTACCTCTGCTAATTCCCTTCCTTCAGCCGGTTGGGAACCAGTTAGAGAATGATGAGACCCATTTTCCCCCAGTAACTGGGCAACACAGTCCTGGCGGTACAACAGGCATGATTCCTTTTTTTTTGTTACACATGGTTTTACAGACACAGACCCCTCATAGGGTCTCCAACACAAAACAACAGGGATTTCAATCCCAAGAAGCTGAAGGGGGAGGGAGGAAGGACAAAGCATCTAGGATAAACTGGGTTGGCAGTGTCTCTGTGGCAAAGTCCTGCTGTGACAGGAAAAGGGAAGGGGAAGGGGGGAGAGGTACAGGCAGACACTACATTCACAAAAGGGAGTGGGAGAGGCACAGAGAAATACATTTCACCCCCCTTTGTTGACCCACAGCTGCATGTACAGGCACAATACACGAAAGACAGAAATACAAGGGGGAACAAATAATACAAGGGGAAAATACACAAAAAAGCAGTGGGAATGGTATTCAGTGACCCTATATGGACTGTACTCCAAGGAGCTTACCTAGAACCTAGAACGAGATCCCCCCTCCATTATAGGGACACTAGAGTCACCAGAACAACTACAGCTTAATGTAGTTGTTCTGGTGAGTATAATCATTATATGCAGGCATTTTCATGCAAACACTGCTTTTCAGAGAGCAGTGTTTACATTGCCCCTAGGGACACCTCCAAGTGGCCACTCCTCAGATGGCCACTGGAGGTGCTTCCTGGCTCAGTGAGGTACAATAGACA